TGTTTTCAAGTCAAACTGGGTCTGACTCATTGTTGTTGTTGTTGTTAAGTGCCGTTGAGTCGGTTCCGACCCATAGCGACCCTGTACAGGGTTTCTGAGGCTGTAAATCTTGACGGGAGTAGAAAGCCTCATCTTTCTCCCACGAAGCGGCTGGTAGTTTCGAACCGCTGACCTTAAGGTTCACAGCCCGATTCGTAACCACTACGCTACCAGAGCTCCTTGCCACATCATATAGTTGAATCTAAAAAGCATTCCCTTCCTTTTTACCCAGAACTCAACCATTGCCTCTTTTTCCAGCCTTGGTAGAAATGGTTGTATTATTCATCATATTCACAGTCATCATTTCTGGAGTGCTGTGGCTCCGTAAGATAAGCACTGGACTTTGAACCACAAGGTCCATGGTTCAAGCCCGCCAGCCACTCCGTAGAAGAAAAATTAGACTTTCTGTTCCCACAAAGATTTACAAGCCTTGAAAACCCTATATAGGGTTACTGTGAGTCAGAACTGACTCAGTGACACTTAACGTTAACAGTTATCATTTCAGGAGCCCTGGTACTGCAATAATTAAGCGTCTGACTGCTAACCAAAAAGTAGATGGTTCAAACCCACCAAGCACCCCCTTGGAGAAAAGATCTGGTGATATGCACCTATAATTACAGCTGAGAAAACCCTATGAGGTAGTTCTACCCTGTCATGTGAGGTCACTATGAGTCGGAATTGACTCAAGGGCAATAGCATTATCTTCTTACTTACTGGCATGGTACTGTAGGATCAGCACTGGACTTTGAACCACAAGATTGGCGGTTCAAACCCATCAGCTGCTCCTTGGAAATTCTATACAAGATCACTGTGAGTAGGAATCTACTCGACGGCACTTACCAACTTACCCACAATTCAACTTAGTTCAGTTTCTTAGTCCTGACACCACCACCCCTTACCCCTGACATCAAATCCATCCCATCCCCCACTTCACTATGTCTTGGTTAAAATCAGTCTCACCCTTTACGTAGCTTCTACTGCACTGCCTTTGGTCCTCGGAGGGGCTGCTATATTTGAACTGCTGACCTTTTGGTTAGCAAACCAATGTTTAACCCACTGCAACACCAGGGCTCCTTCAAGCCAGGACAGGAAGCGTGGCAAAAGTAGCCACATAACTGATGAGCCCTGGGGTGTGTCTGGGCTTATTCAGAGTTCTGCTTGTCGGTTTCCATTCTGGCCCCTCAAACCTGTTTGCTACACAACTCAAATCATGGTAACACTACTGCATAAAACCTTCTCTTTGCTCTTAGAATCCAGACCAAACCTTCTAAAGGGACCCAAAACCTTGGTGTGACCAGCCAGATCACTCCTTGGTCTCATTTCCCCTCTGCCATGACACATTAGCTACTCTGGGCTTCATTTAACTCTATGGTCCTTCTACCATCCATGGTCAGGGCCTTTGAACGTGCTGTCCCCACTGCCGAGTTAACTTCTCTCACTTTTTGCTCATTTAAGATTCAGATCTTCCGTGGAGACACTGCCCTGACTTCTCTGACCAAGTCAAGTCCCTGTTAGTTCTGTTGGCACCATAAAACTCGGGGCTCATTCCATGCCTCAGTGTAGTTTTCCATTAGCTCTGTGTGAGGCTGACTTGAGTCTTTTCCCCTCACCAGACTGCAGGCTCCATGAAGACAAGACTGCTCGCCAGCACTAGGTACCATGCCTGGCACACAGTAAGTATTCAGTAGATGTTTGTTGAATGAAGACATGCACATATGAATGAATGAATGACAAGTGTTAATTCAAGAGTTACATGTTTATTAGTCTTTCTAAACTTGCGCTCACACCTGCCTGGAGAGAACTGTCCACTTCTTTGCTAAGCCCTCCTCCAATCTTGGCAGACAGGGAGGACTCCGGTCCCAAACACACCCCGGGCCTCATCAGCCTGTTTGTTGACTGAGGACCTCTTCTTGTACTACTCTTCCTGCCCTGGCTAGAAGGTGCCCTGGTGGCACTGTGGGTTAAGCATTGGTCTGCTAACTGAATGAAAGGTCATCGGTTTGAACCCACCAGCAGCTCCATGGGAGAAAGATGAGGCAGTGGATTTCTATAAGACTTGCTACCTCCGAAAACCCTATGGAGCAGTTCTCTGCCTTACAAGGTCGTTATGAGACAGAATCGACTCAGCAGTACTGGGTTAGGTTTGGGTTTGGGTCCTAGCTTAGACTGGACACCCCTGATCCTACACAAAGGCTTGCTAAATGAGTACATGTAGGAATCGAAGGAATGCATGATCAATTCATTCACAGGGTAAGTGCAAGAGTGAATGACTGCCACCTTCCAGCTGGCCTGTAGAGGAAGGATCGGAATACAGCGTCTTCAGGGAAACTTGCAGGATGCTCATCTTTCAGACAGAGGGGGCTCTGGGCCCATCTAGAGACCAGCTCCCTAGTGCCCCGGCTGGGGCCAGCATGGACCACTATATAGCTAGCAGCTACCACTTGCCAGGCCTGCATTGATGACCAGCCAAGGGCACCAGTAGGAAACCACCAAGTGTCCAGGGAGGGGAATGGGCTGAGAGGGCAGAAAGCTCCAAGTTGGGCATCGTGACTAAATAAGGCAGAAGCACCCAAGGGAGATGTAACCTGTGTTCTCGATCTGTCTTCATCTCACCTGGGATTTTCTAAGCGAGTGTTCCTGTAGACTGGCACCCAGGGACTCTGTAGGCCCCCTGAGTCCCTCTTTACTATGGCCCTGGCCAGGACTGAAGTCCCCTCCCATCTTCGCAGCAGAAAGACCCAAGGCCGGCTTGGCCTAATCCCTTCTCCAAACAAAGACAGAGGCCTTGCCTGGCAGGCCAGCACGTGCTCTTTTCCTGTTTGCTTTGGATGTGGACCATGGGCCCAGCTGGCTGGGATCTTTGCTCTTTTGGAAGGGCCTCGGAGCTTCCAAGTTGGTGCAGCAGACAGCCCACTGCCTTGAAATGAGGGGTCCGTGCTCTACACCAGCCAGGCTGGGGGACAGAGAGGGGGCATGCTCTGTGGCTCCCAGCTGCAGTCATACTGAAAAGGGCCCCTCCTCCAGCTCCAACCTCGGCCCAGGCCTGGCCACCTCCATACCTCATGTGCAGTCTAGCACGCATCGGAAGAATGATCTTCGTAACAATGTGGGACGGACTCTCCTGCTCAAATCACTCCCTGGCTCCTCACTGCCTGTGGAATGAAACCTCAGCTCTAGCTTGAGCCTCAAGACCCTTCTGTGAACTTGACCCTCTGGCCTCTTCTGTTTCCACTGTCCACTGTAGGCCCTTGGTATTTCTCTAAACCCTCTGCGGTTTTTCATATCTCTGTACCTTGGCTCATCCTGTTTCTGCTGCCTTTGCTCATGTTCCTCTCAAACGACTTCATCCTTCCAAACCCAGGTCAAATGTCACCTCTGCCTTCTCATTCATGGTGGCCCCTGTGGTCCTCTCTGGGTTTCATGCTCTCTCTGGTTCATACGTCTACTGCAGCACTCATCCAACCAATCTGTGTGTTCAAAAGCCTGTCCTGCCATAAGACCTAAGCAGACGCATCCTCGCTGAGTTGATTTCACTTCACAGCAACCCCGTGTGTT